AGGCAGCCATCACGTCCCCTCCTGAGTCTTCCAGCCAATCTCATCATGGAGTCAGAACCTTCACAATTCTAATCAGCCTCCTCTGGACGCTCTCCAGTTTGCCAATGCCATTCTTCAATCCACAGCGCCCAGAACTGAGCCCAGTACCCCAGATGAGGTCTGATGAAGGCACAGTACTACAGGACTATTAACCTCCCTATTCCTTTACCCCTCTTAATGCAGCCCCAAATCTCACTCACTGTTTTAGCTGCCACCTCACACTAGTTACTCACACTGAGTCTGCAGTTTACTGTAAAACCCCCAGATCTTTTTCAGAACGATTACTGTCAAACCATGGCCCTCCCCTGCATCTTATACTTAGGAAGCTCATATTTTATGCTCAAGTACAAAGCCTTTATCTCTATTGATTAGATTTCACCCAGTGCTCCAGCTTGTAAAGATTCTTTTGGATCCTGACTCTGTCATCCAGAATGTTAGCCATCCTTTCCAGCTTGAGGTCATCTGCAAATTAGATAAGTATACCACCTATGTCTTTATCTAAGGCACTGATAAAAAATGTGAAATGATACACAAGGCCCAATCCCCGGTGGACTCCACTGAAGAATTCTGGCCATGTTGACACTGAATCATTATAACTACTCTTTGAGTCAGGCCATCCAACTGGTTATAAATCCACAGGATTGTATTTTCATCTAACCTATATCTCTCTGTCTTCTCCACAGGAGTATTATGAGCTACTTTTATCAAAGCTTTGCCAAAATCTAGGTAAACTCTTTCCATAGGATCCCCTCATCTGCTAGTTTAGTAAACTTGTGCCAAAAACAAAAAAAAAAGGAAAATAATGATGTTTGCCATGGCCTATTCTTCTTGAAGCCAGGCTGATGCTTCCTCAATTCCCCAACCATCTCTGTAATGAGCCATTCTAGAATTTCCCAAGAATTGAAGCCAAAAAACTGTCTTCTTTCCTTTTTTGAAAATCAGGACCACATTTGCCCTTCTCCAGTCTTGTGGTACCTCTCTTTTTTTTCATGATCTCTTAAATGTCAGTGATGGAGGCTCACCATTCACATCTCCTAGTTCTTTTAAGACCAGAATATGTAGTTCATTTGGACCAAGGGTTTTGAATTCATCTAGGGCAGCTAGGTGTTCTCCTGCTATCAGACTGGTTGTTTGGGGTAGTCATTTTTCTGCCGTTTGCTGTGTAAATTAGGTCATTCTCCTTTGCCAAGAAAACAGAAACAAAACAAGAGGAGAAGCTCTGCTTTCTCTCTGTCGTCAGGTATCCCATCCACTCCAAGCACAGGTCCTATGCCTTCTTTGATCCTCCTTTTCCTCCCAATTTAGCTAAAAGCACCAACCCTTTATGTTATCTTCAGCCTCCTTTGCCACATTTTGAGCTTTAGCATTCCTCTCACTGTTTTTACAGGGACTATACCGTGTCTTTTATCCGTCTTGTGTTACCTGACCTCAATTCCATTTTCTAGAAATTTATTTTTTAAATCTAAGTCAGCTAGTGAGTTCCCTGTGCATTCACATCAGTCTCTTCAATCCATTTCCATTTTTCTTCCTTGTTACAGTTGTTTCCCTTCTGTATCTTCGAATGTCATTGTTGAATTTCTCTTATCCCTCCTGGATTGACTTCCCCTGAGCCATCTTGGTCTATGGGATCCTCCTGCCTAGAATTCCCTCACTCCCTTTTTCTCCCTAGCTCAATCCTACTCATTCTTCAAGATCCAGCTAAGGTCCCAACTCCTCCATAAAGTAATCTGTGATCACCTCCGTCACCTAGCTATTTCTCCTTCTCTTGAGTTCTGATAGCATTTATTCTCTAGAGATTCCACACAGTTGGCCCTTATCCACTGACTGCCCCTTATGTGTGTGTCTAGGCCTTTTCTCACCACAACCAGGAGATAAACTGTATGTGGGTTATGTCGTCTTCTATGTAAGAGACGCTAGTTGATTAGTCTTCTTGGCATAGTCTTTGGTCTAAGAAGGTACTGTCTTAAAGAATTAAACATTCTTCTGTTTCCTACTCCTCCTACATCACACAGGGCAAGTAGTTTCCCTGGCAGAGTTTTATGTGCTGCACAGAATCACAATTCTGGAGCTGGAAGGAACTTTAGAGGTTCCACTAGTCCAACCTCGTTTTATAGATGAGACTGAGGAGTAGAGAGGGCATAAGTGCCTTGCCCAGGTAGCTGTGTAACTAACTTAAGTGCCTTGCCCAAGTAGTTTAGTAACTAACTTAAATGTCTTGCCCACATAATAACCAGAATTTGAACCAGATCTTCTGACTCTAAATTCAATGTTCTTTCCATTATTCCACATCTTCTTTCCTTTTTATTCCCTAGAGACCTTGCATTCCCAGCAGCTATTGTGAAAATGGTATGTAAAGAGTGAACAAGATGGCATCACTTCCCACTTAGAGACTTCCTTGTGACCAGACTTCCAGATTTGTCCGTAGTACCCATCTCTGCCAGATACAGAAGCACCTGGTTCACCTCCTTACTCCAAAGGACCCTGACTAGATTGTGCTCAATAAAGGATGTTTTGTTTCTCAGGGAGTAGAAGTTCAGTTGTCTTTGGATGGCTCTCTTGGGGATCGCTAGGTTTGGCTTCCACTTCCTCATCACAAGTGACATCCCTAGGTGACAGCCTGAGAAACTGTGACTTAGAAGATACAGACACTGAAAGTTAAGCTGTGGGGAAAAGATAGGACAGAGGAGCCAAGGTTAAAACATAGAGATGCTTGGTCCTTTAGAAAATTTTTAGATGTGTAAGACAATTTAACCACATGTGCAGAAGAGCAACAGAAAAATTGGTCATTTCATCGGCACCCTTCTGACTCCATTCACAGTTTCGTTTAACAAACTTAACAGTTTTCCAAGAGCTTTGTGTTTCTGTATGTGTTTTGTATACTCAGTAGGACTTGATTCTGTTCACTTAATGACAGTTTGACTTTTTTCAAAAACAATTTTTTTTTAGAATTCTAAGCCCATATTGGAAAAACAACATGGCAAAAGGAATATCCATTCAGACAAATTGGTAGGGTTTTGTTTTTGTAGTAATTTTTTTCTGTTCTATTAGAATAGTTTGGCATTGATACTTTAGGGGGGGAAATGGACTCTGGAATATTTAAGTGGCAAGGGAAAGTTTTTTTAAAAATTGTGAATGCCTGTAAGAACAAGGAAAATTCTTCCACATCCAAAGGTGGAGAATGAACAAAGAAATTTTCATTTATAGGAAGACTCAGACATACAGATATCCTCTGTTTTATTTCACCAAATACATTTTTACCTCCTCTCCTTATGCAAAGTTTGCCAAGGTTTCTTATAGTTTATATTTTGTTACCTCCATTTTGTTCTCCAGTCTTCTCTATAGACTAGGTCAATAAACAATTGTAAAGCAGACTAAAGAGGTCCTTTAATCGACACATTATATTCTTAAAGCAGTAGGTCCCTTATTAAATTTTATTCATGTCTTCTGAATAAAAACGCCAGTACTCCAGACATGAAATCTTCAAGTCAGCTGTTATGATAATGACAAAATCAAGATTTAAAGGATAATCCTTTGACAGCTCTTTATATCCAATTTTACTTATTTTGTCAAGCAAGTAAGAATTTGCACTTAATTCATCTACTCAGTGTACATATTCTGTTTATTGTTAGCCATTTTATGCACCTATTAACATTAGACTGATAAAGGCTAGCATGGACCTCATTCACACATAACACAAAGGAGGTCTCTCTCCTGATCCAGGCCCACATCATAGACTGTTTTTTGGACATTTTGAACTAAATGACCTGGAAGCCTTCAGACTCAATATGTCCAAAACCAAACTCATTATTTTTCTACCCAAATTCTTCCTACTTCCTAATTTCTGTATTTCTTCTCCAGATCCTTCTGGTCTCTGAAGTTTCACAGCCCGAGTCATCCTCATCCCTTCTCTTGTCCTTGTCTCTCACAACAAATTTTTGCTACATCTTGTTTATTCTGTCTTTCCCCAATGCTCTGGGCCTGGGTAGGGAACCTGCAACCTCGAGGCCACATGTGACCTTCTAGGTCCTTAGGTGTAGCCTTTTGATTGAATCCAAGTTTTACAGAACAAATCCTTCTATTAAGGGGATTTGTTCTGTGAAGTTTGGATTCAGTCAGAGGGCCACACTTGAGGCCCCAGGTTTCCCACCCCTCCTCTGGGCCCTTTTCTGATATTCTTAAATTCTAATTTCCTCCATACACCTTACAGTCAAATACATTGTCCTTCTGGCATTTCCTTTGTAGTCGCTGTACTTTTCCCCTGGCTATTCCTCATGCCTAGAATGCTCTTTCTCCTACCCTCTAACTCTGATCCCTGCCTTTCTTTGAGACTTAGCTATAGTACCACCTACTCCAGGAAGCCTTTCCTAGTCCTGCTGGCTACTAGAGCCATCCCCTCTAAGGGTCCTCCCCCTCCTCTGCAAATGACTTTGTATATATCTTGTACTTTGCTGTAAAAAGTAAGCTTTTGTTTTGTTTTCAGCATTGCATTTCCAGCCCCTAGCCCTGTGCCTAGGACATAGTAGGCATTTAACAAAAGCTCGTTTGACTAAACTCAATTAAATTCAATTCAACTATCTTTCCAACTGGATTATAAACTAGTTGGAGTACTGCTGTCTTCTGTATTCCACATAGGGGCTAACACAAAAAAGTCACTCAGTAACTCAGAAACATCAACTCTCCGTATTGAAAAACTAGATAGAAGCTATCTGTCTAGTTCAGTCTCACGTGATGTATTAATCCCTTCGATAACATCCTCAGCAACTGACTGATCTTGTCCATCTAGTCTCTGGTTGAGTGATACTGCCTAATTGTTTTTCTAGTTTTTTCATGGATCTAAATCTGATTTTCCTGGAAACGTCGAATGCTGCTTGAGGTTAGGGACTAAATAACTTCACTTCCGTCTAATCCCCATACTTACTATAGGAGCTTGCTAATTTGACCCTTTTTTGCATTTTATCCAGAATTTCTACTTGGCTAATAAAGGGAAAAAAGAAGGCAAGGAAACGAATGAGAAAATGAATGCAAAGAATAAGGAATTTTTACTAGAGGTAAGCTTACCTGGGAAGTGTTGAGAAAGGGCAGGGACACTGGTGGTCTTTGCCATCCTTTCTTTGTCTTGTGATGGAGATCAACAGGCTGTGGACCTGGAGTTAGGACCTGGGTTCGGATCCCAAATCTGGTGATCACTAGTTGTGGTGACCTTGGGAAAGTCACTTAACCTGTCATTGTTTTCCTCATATGTGAAATGAAGGGAGGGTTGAACTTGATGGCCTCAAAGGTCCCTCCTAACCCTGCGTTACTATTGAAAGGAAAAGACAGGAGAGGCTTTACCTCCATTGTGCTTTCATTTTAGGGTAACTCAGATGGAATTAAGTAATTTTATAACCAGTTTTGAGGTTTGGAGAGACACACCTGGAAGAATGAGAAGTGTTAACATGCTTAACAGACCATCATATGGTAATGCAATGATCACACACACACACACACACACACACACACACAAAAAACAGTCCATCTGCCTTCCCCATTATAGACTTTAATTTAAAAAAAAAAAGCTGAGTAAATTTCTAATTTCTGCTTTTCACTTGGTCTCAGTTTCTGCATTAGCTAGCGGCACACTTTCTTCTTAAATAGCAGATGCCAAGCGATGCAAACATGTCCATTGTCAGATAGAAGTAGCTTGATTTAAAGAACGATTTGTTAGAGTTTGTTTAAATGTGAACACAAATGTCTGTTTACGTTTTGTATATTTTGTGTAACCGGACTCTCAATTGCAGGAAAGTTTCTGCGGGACATCTGTCATTGTGCCTGAAATTGAAGGAGCTCTTTATTTGAAAGAAGATGGAAAGAAATCCTGGAAAAGACGCTATTTTCTTTTACGGGCTTCTGGAATTTATTATGTCCCCAAAGGGAAGACTAAGGTCAGGAAGCCAAAGGAAACACTTTAGCAATAAAGCATTTCATGAAGGTGAAAGAAAAGAAATCTTCAGGTGACATTTGAAGGGCAAATGTCTGTTATACATGAGAAGTCTGATATCACTACAACACTTGTACAAATACTGTGTTCAGACGGAGCTGATGAAACTACTTTTTGTCTGTCTTGTAGTAGTTTGGCCTTGCAAATAAAAGCATTATGTTCAGTTTTAAATCCATATTTTAAAAGAAATGCAGGAGGCATTTTCCCTGAAGATTATTTGATTACTTTTACCACAGTTTTTAATCTCTTCCCTTCTAACCACTTCTTTTATCTAGAATCAATAGGAAATGGACAGCTCTAGATAAAAGTCTGCCTGAAGGCTTAATCCCTTATGAAATAATAGTTAATAATTACAGCACAGGCAGCTAGATGGTGCAGTGGATGCAGTGCTGATCCTGGAATGTCAAGAAGATCTAAGTTCAAATGTGGCCTCAGATATGCTAGCTGGGTGACCCTGGGCAAGTCACTTTATCTCTGCCTCAGTTTCCTCATCAGTAAAATGGAGATAATCATAGTACCTACCTTCCAGGGTTATTGTGAGGAGCAGATGAGGTAATAAGTGTAAAGTGCTGAGCAGCAAAGTGCCTGGCACACAGTAGGTGCTATATGAATGTTAGGTAGCATTGATGATAATGATGATGATGATGTCAAGAGCTCCTTTCTTCACTGGGCCAGAAAAAAGGCGGGGTACCTTCTGGTCACTTCACACACACCCTTCACCCTCCGCAGATCACCAAAGGGCAGGAATAGGGTCCCCACTCATGTAGGTTCCAATCACAAATATTTATTAAATGTATCTGTGAGTAAGTCATTCTAAGTCTTAGTTATAGGCCAGTTCACTGTTCATCCTTTCATCTTCTCCCTTTTCGGGAACCTCAGGTGTTTGCTTGCCTGCTCTTTCCTCTGCCACTAAGTAGTCTTCATCTGAGGTTTCTCCTCTCTGTATCAATCAACAAGAATTTATTAAGCACTTAGCATGTGCCAGGCCCTGTGCTAAGCACTCTGGAATATAAAGGTCAAACCGAGGCAGTCTCTGGCCTCTGGGAGCTTCAAGGACTCAAGTCCATATTCTTTTTCTGTCCCTGCCCTAAGTAAATACATAGTTATTTAATGAATTTTTCTGTAGGCTTTTTACGGCCAGTCACTAGAGAAAAATGGGGCAAAAATAACAAACTAGATACAAAATTAAAAGGGTAGTAATATTTCCCCCCTGGTTTTCATCCAAATAATAGGACCAAAACCAGATCTAAGATCTATTTTACTGCCTTATTTTTTTTCTTCTTCTGAGCCATTTCTGTCCCCACTGCTCTGTCTCACTTTATATTTCCAGAGAGGGTCTGATACTCATGAATTTCCATTTGTTTTAGGTTCGTGCATCAGTCTTCTCTTCCTCTCATGCAAACCCAGGAATAATCACAATAATAATTGCCCACATTTCTGTAGCACTTTATATAGTTCCTTTCCTCACTGCCCTGTAAAGCAGATATTATTCCTACTTCACTAGTAAGGAAATTATGACAGAGAGGTTAAGTGACTTGGCTTCCTAGTTGAGTCTTCTGCCTTCTCAGCCCACTACCCTCTGCTGCCTGGTTGGACAAAAGGTGCTGATGACAATCATGTGAATCCCCAAAGTCTCAAGGTAGATTCATTTTCACCTCAGAGGAAACTCCAGCCTGACTGTATAGATCTAATATTACGCTGGTTTACACAGAAGAGTTATTCTAGGTCATTCCCCAAGCAAACTCCCTTATCGAACATGGATGAGGTACCTTAAATTAATCCTATGCTTCTTAAGGTGTTTAACAGTTTTAGTTGACCTGGAGTTTACAAAAATTTTGAATAGATGCTCTATCTTTGTTTTCATATCATACGAGCTGAAGCATTGGAAGAATTCCTTAGCTGTTTTCTGGTTGAACATCCCTATCACTGTAAAAATCTTTTCCACACTATCCCTAACCCATCATTTGACCTACTTCCACCATCACCCAACTCTCACATGAGGTGAATGAGGCTTTTGGAAAACTCAAACATAATGCTTTTTTTAGCATTGAAATCGCATTAAGGTAAAACTTCCATGGACAGTTTTTAGGGAGAGCATGGTCCACAGTGGATAGAAGCTGGGCTTGCAGTCAGGATGACATAGGTGGGAATCTCATCTCTGACATTCACAAGCCATGTGACAAAGTCATCTACCAAGTCATGGATGGGTTGGTATAAGGGGCATTCTTGGTGATTCTCACATTTGGAATACTCTAAGGGATGAAAATCTCAGGTTCTTTGCATGTTCCTCCATCAAGCTTAAACTATCTGCTTTACCTAGAAGGGTGTAGTTTGGATTTAGGTAAAGAAATAACACTTTGCATATAGCTAAAATGGGGCTGGTATGCTGAGGGGAATCTTAAGATTTTGATTCCAAATATATGTGTAGCCTATATCAGATTGCACACTGCGGTGGGGAGGGAGGGGAAGAAAGATTTAAAACTCAAAAGCTTATAGAAGTGATTGTTGATAAATCAAAATAAATTTTTAAAAAAGATCTCAAAAAATTAATGCTTATTGATTGGTTAATTGGGAAAAAAAGATTTTGATTCTAAGAATTGTGAAGTGAAACATTTACCAAGGGTTTAGATAACTGTGGGCCCAGTACCGTACCCACTGTCATGGTATGGTAATGCATTGGCAAACATACGTACCTACCTACCCTTAGTTATTTATCTAATAAAGGAAAAAAGAAAATCTGTCATTCAAAATGTAGGGACCTAGACTTGTGGTTTCACTGCTGTAGGAGCCCCCCAGGAGAGGAAATACCTTGTCCCTGTACAAGTCATCTGCAACTTAAAATCTTAGAGAGGTGCCCAAGGGCATGATGAGATTAAGTGAATGTACAAGAGAATCACAGAGGCAGAAGAACTTGGGACTTGATGGCTACAAAGCCAGCTCTCTGTCCACTCTGCCATATTGCCTGTCACTTGAAAACACTCTAAATTTTATTATAAATGTATAACGTTGTTATAGGTGTTGAGATGCAAGGGAATACTTTCCAAGAATAACATCTTCATTTAAAAATATTGCTTAATGAACAAATCATCATGTTCAGTGCTTAATGAACAAGCAATGTCTGTGTCTGTATATAATTTCAGAAGTTTTATTTGATTTAGCACAATACTTGGCACATAATAAGAGCTCAGGAAATGCTTTTTTAATCATTCATTCCTTTATCCACATTAGCAAGGCAGTGTTAGCATAGATCACCACAGCTTTTAGCATAGTGCATGGCATATAGTAGGCACTTAATAAATGCTTATTGTCTGACATTTAGAAGGAGCCCCTTTATATAGAACTGGCAAGTATAATGTTATTTGTTAAAAAAAATTGGACCTTGTAATCGCATGCCAAAATCAAATACAAGCTTCTTTTGGATTATCAATCCTTTTATCCATCTCTGCAGATAACTCATTGAAAGCTGATATTTTAAGGCTCCATTTGTGTTGAATTACTGCATTCAGAATAAGATATTTTAGAAAGAACTATTAGCTGGTATGAAAAATTGGGAAAAATGTTTCCATAAAAAAAAAAAGACATATGACAGAAAAAAGGGAGGAGGGAGACCAAACAGCATAATCACATGTGTTAATTCTAACTAGTATTGTATTTGTAAACTATATTTAGCATCAAAGAAAACCAGAACGGAGAAATAGAGCCAATTTGTAATTAAGGTGTGATGGAATATGCAGATTCTACACCGCACTCACTCTTCACAAAGAAGGTTGTTCGGTGAGGCAGACATTTTGTTTCCATGGCAACATCTCAAGCCCAATAAATAGCAAGAGGGAACCTGCAGTATTAGAAGAAAAAAAGGGACAAGAAAAAAAAATCTTTGCTTTGGAAGCGCCTGAAATTTCTCCTAATTTACTGAGAAGTACATTTAGTGCCCTTTATTGTCTATTTCTTAGTGGAAGCTTTCTTTAGGAGGAAAAGAAACAAGATGCTATTTCTAGCCACGGAATCCATCCCTTTGTCAGAATGGGAAAGATCTTTGTAATGTGCTCACTGAAGGGAAATGCCCTTCTTTCCTCGGTGGTCACCTTGTCTTGATTGCATCGGTAGGCATAAGCCAAGATTAGTTAGCAGGGGCTCTCAAAGTCAGTCAGTGGTACAAGGTATTGGAAGAGCAACCAGTGCACTTTATTTTTCTCTTTCCTCTAAAAAAAAGCTTCAATTTTCAGGATACCCTGCATAGCAGAACATCAGATAAAACAAACCAAATTCAGCGTGCTTTTTTTTCTTTGCTTAAATATGACGCACTAGTTGTTAGAAATGGATATCAAAAATTCTCCTAAGAGCCTTGGAAATGGGAGGGCTTTTTATTGTCCTGGAATTTTAGTTGAATTTTCTGTAACATTGTATTATTTCCCTTCACTTGCAGACATCACGGGATTTGGCTTGCTTCATTCAGTTTGAAAATGTAAATATTTACTACGGAACACAGTACAGAATGAAATATAAAGCTCCAACTGACCACTGCTTTGTACTAAAGGTATGTGCAAGGATATCTTTTTTTTTTCATGTGATGTTTATGAGGATTGTGACTCTGGGCATCTCTTCTAAGCAGTAAACATTAAATGACATACTTGACCACAGCACTTTAAAAGTAACAACTTGTGTTCCACTCTATGTGTATTTATGCGTGCATAAATGTATTTTAGTATTCCTTTAGCCCAGACCTATGCTTTCATCCATGTAATGAACCCTCTCCAATGATGCAGAATCATCTATAATTTATTGGTGTTTCATGGAGTATGGAAAGGTTTAGTGGTCTGCCCATTGTTATACAGCCAGTATGTGTCAGAGGCAAGAGTTTAGCCTAAGGTCTCCTGACTCTGCTCTCCAGCTCTTAGCAAGTGCCTGGAGCATAACTTACTGCTTCTTCCTTTATAACCGTGTCTTTAGAGGGAGATTTATTTAGGAAAAAAACAAGATGCTGGTCACAGAATCCATCCCTTCATCAGAATGGAAAGAGCTTTGGAACATATGTACTGAAAGGAAATGTCCTTCCTTCCTGGGGGTCAGTCCTTGCTTTGACTGCCTCAGTAGGAATGAGCCAAGATCAATCAGCTATGGCTCTCTAAGTCTTTTGTGGCTGTTTGCAATCTAGAGTATTGAGTACAGTCTCTATATGCCAAAAGGATATCTCAGCCTAAAACTTCAATATGACTCTCAGCTGTAGGTTCTCATACAATGTCTGACAAAGGTTCTGAAATTTGAACTTGGACATGCATTTTGTGGATAATGTAGTAAAGATAACACCCAAGAAATCAGTTCTTTATGTACTGACTTTTCTTGTGTTCAGAGTGGAGGAAGTTTTTAGGAAACCAGAATCTGTCCTCACAGGCAAACTTACACGGACTAAATTAAGGAGAAAAATTTCTACATTGAGACCATGCCTTGGAGGGCTGAACAGAAATATCTCTCATCTAGCAGGTTTAGCATCTGATTCCTGTAAATGGTTTCGAGCGACCTGATTTCTCTGTTGCTCAGTTAGTCTGGCAACACCGTCTCTCCATGCCTACGTTGAGCTTTTTCCCATCCTCAGACACTTCAGACACGTCAGAAAGCATTTCTTGAGCCTCTAATGACACCCAGTAAAATACTAGGCCTGTTACAGTGTGTTCCACTTCTGGGGATCAGACTAGTAAGCAGATACACAAATGTCAGGCCGTTAAGCTTTTTGAAGTTGATTGGGGCCTGTTGTTAATGAAACGAAGGTCACAGGTTGCCTTTTCGTATAAGCCGGCTAATGCTAAAGCAAAAACTGTTGTCATGACCTACAGGCTACAGCCCCAGCAGCCCTAGGCGGCCCCTGGAGACATGCATACCTTTGGGTGGGGGGTTCAACAGAGTTTGTCACCGCTGCTGGGAAAACAGCTCAAAGCCTGCACTCTGCTGTGTATCCTGCTTCCTGCCAGAATGTAAATTCCAGGATGGGGTGTCTTAATATTGTATCCTCCCCATGACCTAGCATAGCGCTCTGCACCGAGTAGGTGCTTAATGTACGTTAGATGGATTAATGCATAACACATGAAAGAAGTCTACACAAACAATGTTCTAGTACATTTGCTGTCACATATTCTTGGCCAAAGATGACATAATACATTGTCAGAGGGCATGATGAATGAGCTTACTATTTTTTTTCTCCATTTTAGTGGTTCTGCTGTTTTAGAAAGGACTACAGTAGAACTGCTACTTCAATAATGTACCTTTTTTAAACATAAATTTGGATAGGCGATGGTTCAGATCATAAAACACGAGTACAAAAGCCTACTTGAACTCAGTTCAATAGATCAGTTAGTGAAAGAACTGTTCTGAGTTCCCATTTCATCCCCTCTTCTCCACTAGATTTTCCTGTCATCCCTACTCTTTCACTTATTTTCAGCCTCTGTCTACTTGCTGCTTTCCTCCATACCCATTTCTCCCTCATCCTCAAAAACCCTCACGTGATCTATCCATGCTAGCTATTGTCCCATATCTCTCCTTCCTTTTTTGTAGCCTAAATTCCTCAAGTCTAGTTCATGACCTTATCAGATGACTGAGTAAAACTGTTCTCTTCGAAGTTACCAGTGATTTCATAATTGCTGAATCTAATAGCCTTTTCCCAGTCCTCAACCTTCTTAACCTCTCTGCAGCTTCTGATACTGTGAATCAGCCTCATCCCCTTATTGCTCTTTTCTTTTTAGTTTTCCACAGCTAAGGTGGCACAGTGGATAGAGTGCTAGGCCTGAGTGAGGAAGACCTGAGTGCCAGTTCAGCCTTAGACACTTACTAGCTGTGTGATCCTGGGCAAGTCACTTAATCCTGTTTGCCTCAGTTTCCTCATCTGTAATGTGAGCCGGAGAAGGAAATGGCAAACCACTTTAGTGTCTTTGCCAAGAAAACCCCAGAGAGTCAGACATACCTGAAATGACTGAACAGCAACAACAGTGCTCCATCTTGGTTCTCCTCTGACCATCTGACCACTCCCTTTTAGTCTCTTTTGCTGAATCTTCATCTACAGCATACCCATCACTGGTGGGTATCCCCCAGGTATTTGTCCAGTGTCCTCTTCTCTTCTCCCTCTTTACTGTTTCACTTGGTTATCTCATCAGCTTCTGTGGAGTCAGTGGATTCACCTCTATGCTGATGATTCCCAAATCTACTTATCTTGCCCTGTCTCTTGACCTCTAGCTTCGTATCTTTAACAGCCCATTGGACAGTTCAAATGGAACATCTCAGAGACATCTTAAATTCAGTGTGCCCCGAACTGAACTTATGGTCTTTCCCTCCAAACCCATCCCTATTGCAGACTTCCTTCAAGTCCTAGCTAAAGCCCTACCTTTTACAAGAAATCTTTCTTGATTAGGAGAAGGGGTATACAGAATGCATGCCATCTTGGGGTGGGGGAGGGACGAAATGGGGAGAAAATTTGGAACTCAAAATCTTGTGGAAGTGAATGTTGAAAACGAAAAATAAATAAATTAATAAAAAAAGAAATAGCAAAAAAAAAAGAAAAAAGAAATCTTATACTAATTCCTTTCCTTTGCTGATTAACTCCCATTTGCCCTGTATGTATGTTTTTAGTACATTGTTTTTTTCATGTTGTCTCTCCCATTATACAGTGAGCTCTAGGGAGCAGGTCCTATTCTTTTGCCTTTCTTTATATCCCCAGTACTTAGTATGGTACCTGGCTCATAGTAGGTCACAATAAATATTTATTGACTGCTACTACTACTACTACTACTACTACTATAATAATAATAATAATAATAATAATAATAATAATGAAAAATAATAATAACTAGCACTTATATAGCTCTTTAAGATTTGCAAAGTACCTTACATGTGTCATCTCAGTTGTTCCTAACAGCAACACTGAGAGTAAGTGCTATTATTATTAGCCCCCATTTTACAGATGAGAAAACTGAGACAGACAGAGGTTAAGTGACTTCCTCAGGGTCACACAGCTAGTGTCTGAGGCCAGATTTGAACTCTTCCTGACTCTATGCACTCTACCTTCTAACTGGCTAATTACTACCAGTGTGGACATGAGCAAATCACTTCCCCTCTTTTTCCTGGCCTCTTTTTCCTATTCCATAAAATGAATTGATGGGACTGAATGACCTCTAAGATTACTTCCAGCTCTAAATCTATGACCTATGCTCCTGTGAAGCAGAAGCAATCATAATAAGCTAGTGAGAGAGAGTGAGAGCAGGCAGTCTCAAGGTCATAACAATGAAGGGATGGAGGTGAATAAGGGGAAAGAGTCTGGTCCACTTCCGGCTGTCTCAGTCTCCTGTACCCATCGGTCATTATCATATAAGGGATGAGCATGGCAGCACACCCCTTAACCACCCATGGACAGGAGCCATGAAGCCCCAGCTGCATTCTTCGAGGCTCATTGCAAGGGGTCATAAGTCCTAATGGTCTCCATTGTCCTAAGGAGTGGGGCAAGTATAGAGATGCAGTGGCTGGTTTGCCCTGAACAGAGAGGCTCAGCTGATATTTTTGAAGCGTTTCCCTCTGTCTTTGACACATCACATAGTCAGCGTGTCTTAGACAGTAGGCTAGGTGTATACGTGCTACACAGTGTCAGAACTGCTTGACATCAAAGCCCAGGCTTGGTTGGTGATGAGAAACCCTTCAAAGGGGGCAAATAGCAAGGTAATTTATATGCAAATTGAACTGGTTTACTTGGTCTGATGTGCTCGAGACAATGTGTGGATTTAATTATGGTTTATTGGGGCTGGTTTTGCTTGAGTAATCTGAGAGTAATGGTGCATAATGCTGAATTAATCTCAGATTTAGAAAAATTGGTTTCCAGGGAATCAGCTGAGACAAGGGCCTCAGTACATACCATTTATGCAGCTGGGTACCTGTCTTGAAGCCAGCCTGCTGGAAGAGCAGCCTTTCTGCCCTCTGAAGTCTGTTATACTTACCTTTGCTGCCAGTCCTAGAGCAGGGTGGGGTCAAGGCTGCTGTACTCTCCCCACTGAAATTTCCCCCAGAACTGACCTTATGTCATGGGCACAATCCCATACTTTGGCATCCCACCCTTGACTCTTTATTGAGTTTATTCAGTCACGTATCTGAGAGCAGCATCAAGCAGGCTGATATGTTTTGTGTTTCAGGTTAGTCATATAACAGATGGACTGCTAGGCTCACAATAAGTCTAGAGCTGAAAAAGACCCATGACCCATTTAGTTCAGGGGCTCTTGACCTTTTTTGAGAGGTCCTTCCTGGATCCCTTCTCAGAATAATATTTTGGGTTTTTTGGGGTTTTTGTTAGAATAATATTTTTAAATGAATAAAATATATGAGATTACAAAGGAAATCAAATATATTGAAATAGTTATTGAAATATTTTTAAAAATAAATTCACAGACCTCAGATAAAGAATCCATGATCTAGTCTACTCCCTGTTTATATTGATAAGGAGCCTGATAACCAGAGAGGTTAAGTAACTTGCCCAAGGTGACACAGATAGTCATAAGAGGATTTAAATCA